AAAATTATGCTGAAAAATTATGGATACATTATAGCGGGGTGTCATCCACATTGTACAGGCTTCTCCGTGAAAATTATCACACACACGCACACACACACACACCCCACCACCGCCATAAATTGTGAACTGACCCTTATTGAAATCTCCTCTGTTATCTTGTATCTTTATAAAACAGTTGACTAATGTTGATGACATACACTCATCAGAGCTTGGAGATAACTCTTTAATTCTTGTAAGGCTACAAATTAGTGGATCTGGTCAACAGATTTCCATTTAACATCAGATCGATATGGGACCATCGCCTGTGTAGCCAATTGTTCACTGGGGCTACAGGCTCCTTTTCTCCCGGGGATGATCGGCCTCCTTTCGATATTTTGGCTTGGACATGTAATTTAGACCGATTCATATCAATGTAATCCATGCCTTGTCCAGAAATATTGAACTCCAGTTTCCGCCGTGATCTGAGATGTGGGTCAGTCATTGACATAATAGACATTTCCTATATCTGTAAAGAGTGGAGGGTAAACTGGACAGGCTCCTCAACTTCAATGGTGTGTATGTAGCCATTCTTGTCTTCTGAAAACGTATCTGTTGTAGTTTAGTCTTGACACTTTGACTTTTTGGGGCTTGAATGACTCTCTTGGTCAACTCAGTTATATCTTTATATTATGAGGTTGGTTCTGGAGAGGCATTTAGAAGTTGGTATTCAAGTAAAACCCAAATATTATGGATGACAACTTTTTCTTTATTGTATGTCAGAACGTTTCTGGGCTATTCCTTGCCCCTTGGTCACCTGACGAAGGAATAGCCCAGAAACGTTCTGACATACAATAAAGAAGAAGTTGTCATCCATAATATGTGCGTTTTACTGTAGCATTATGCTTTTCACAAACTTGACGACTTTTAGTCTGTTCCATGACTTGTTTGGAGGGTATTATTATGACATGAGAGTTCCTTTTGGTTTTGGATCGTATGCAACCAATATAGCATCAATAGCTATACTTTCTATTCAGGTGATTGTAAGGAGGCAGCAATGCTTAAGATTTTAATGTAGTGAATGAGTGACTCTAGTTTTAGGCTGCACTCAGCATTATTCAAGCTATATGGCGGCGGTCGGTAAATAATCGAGTCTGGACAATCCAGTGATCAACAGCATGAGCATCGATCTGCGCAATTGGGAACCGATGACATGTGTCAACCAAGTCAGCGAGCCTGACCACCCGATCCCGTTAGTGGCCTCTTAAAAAATTACGACAAGCATGGGTTACTGAAGATCAATATATTAACCCGGACCTTCACGGGTGGATACCTATGATACTAATAGTCTTGTTAAGATCGGGTACATAAGGCTTCCACTGAGGGTTATTCATGATGATAATGATGAGATAAGACTGACTTTGAATGAAGTGTCACAATAACTGGCGCTGTAATGAATGATACCAGTTCACCCTGTCTGACTGTCTATATACATGATTGTGGATACTATCGGGCTGTGTGGTTCTTAAGGGGGAATAGTGATAGTGATTGAACACAAAAGAACGTTCTCTTATATTTCCATTCAAACAAAGTGTTCGTAGTAGAGGTTCTTTGTTTCCATCAACAAAATGGTTCCATTCTATAAGTGAAATGTACGACATCTGGTCATCTGGTTTGTTTTCTTTCTGTTTTTTTGTTTTTTTTCTTCATCTTTTTTTTTTAGGTACAAAACCATGACATCAAATAGCAGTCAAATATAACCATGCGTCTGTATACAGAATTTGGTAAGCATGTTATAACAAATGACATTGTAGGAAAGAATGGGTCGGTTGTACGTTAGCATCAATCAAACAATTGATGAAAATCTTACCAAAATCCAACAAATTTGGTGAAATTGGAAGAAGAGATGGCATGTGTTCTCTCGATATTTTGTAAACTTTACATATTTCATTTCTGATCATGTCGAAACCTGATGTACAAGTATATGTTCTTATTTTAAAGAGAGTAAATTTGACAACTGTTATAAGGAGATTAAGGACATCGTTCCTTTCTTCAGAGAATCCAAATATGATTTTCTTCTTATCGATATTCAATGTGATTCTTGTTTTGCTTGCATTCATTCAAGGAAGCATAGTCGTCCAATATTTGTAAGGTATTTTGTAGACACTTCTCAGTACCATTTAAGACAAGGGATGTATCATCTGCAAACTGGGAGACTAGATATTCTGTGTTTCCAATTGTTATACTTTTACTTTTGGATTGTTTCGAATCATTGCGGATAAAATTTCAGCGCATATAATGAAGATATAGGGTGAAAGGGGATCTCCTTGTCTACAGCCTCTAGTTATATTAAAGAAGTCAGAACCAAAGCCATTTACTAATACTGATGAACTTATATTACAGTAAAATGTCTTGATCCATTTTCTTATAGATTCCCCAAAATTTAAAAACGCAAAACCCTCTTTAATGAAGTTCCAGTTTACGGAGTCAAATGCCTTTTCAAAATCGATCAGTAGTAACATTCCAGGAATTTCCATAGTTTCTGTATAATCCATTATGTCATATATCAGTCTTGTGCATTCACCAATATATCTATTAGCAAGGAATCCTTTTTGATCTTCATTAATAATTGACGCTAATACCCTTTTAATTCTATTTGCTACTGTTGCCGAACCGATCTTGTATGACACATTTAGTAACGGTCTCCATTAGATATCGGTCTCCAAGTTTGATAAATATTGTTCTGGCTTGTCTTTTTTAGGTAAGTAATAAGACCTTGTTTTTGGCTAGCCGATAGTTCACCGTTTTGATATGCGTAATTTAAAGATCTAAGTAGAAACGGATATATATTATTCCAGAAGAATTTGTAAAACTCAGTTGTGAATCCTGACGGGCCAGGACTTTTCCCATTTTTCATTTATTAAGCGAGCTTAGGACTTCGTCATACGTTAATTCCCCTTCTAGGCTTTGCTTTTGGTTACCATTAAGTTTGGGAATTCCAGCATCATCAAAAAGCTCATGTAAGTTAACCTGCTTAGTATCTTTTTTTTGTTTATAACTCTTTGTAAAATGTTTTGTTTCTTTTATTAAATTGTTTTTACCTGTTACGATTTCATTATTTTCATTTTCCAGTTTTGTAATTGCTTTATTTAGGAAGTTTTGTTTTTCAAGGGATAAGAAATATTTGCTTGGTGTTTCTCCATGCTCATACCAGTCAACTTTTGATCTTATTATAATACCTTCTGTTTTGTACTTATGAATTTCTTCTAATTCTGCTTTTGCCTGCTGAATCTGTGACAGTAAATTTTCTGTAATGTCATCCTTTTCTGAATGGTCAAATTTTATTTCTAAATCATTGATACTGTCAACAAGTTCTTTTTCCCTCTTATTTGTTTTCTTTTTCATTTCTGGTGAGTATTTTATAGTGTAACCCCGTATCATTAAGAGTATTGTTTCAAATAACAATTGGTCATTAAGCATGAAAGTCGTTTCTACATCATAAGTACTATTTTGATACTGTTTTGTAGTATCTTTGATTATTGCCTTCACTTTGTCAACATAAATTTTATCTCGTAAAAGAGAGTTATTAAATTTCCAAAATCCACGGCCTTTTTCTACATCATTGAATTTCAAAGCGATCCAGTGTAATGAGTTGTCTGACCTATAGCTTGGATCTATACATGCGTTTGTGACAGAATTCTCAAGACTTCTTGATAAAAGGAAATAGACCAGTCTAGCTTGTTTTATCGGGTTTTGTTGGCGCCACGTTTATCGCTTTTGTAAAGGGTTATTATCTCTCCACGGATCAATAAGATTAAATTCTTCAATATATTCTAGCAATACATCTCTCGCCTTAGTGTTATTTACATGTTTGTAATTATAAAGATCAAGTTCAATATCTTGGATAATGTTCCAATCTCCACAAATAATAAAATATTTTGAGTCGAAGCGTTTGCTGATATCAAATATGTTATGGATAAATTCTGGAGTATCTCTATTGGGACCATACACTGATATCAAAGTTTGTTTTCTGTTTACGAGTTTAATAAATCTATTTCAGTTAAGATCAGTTTCCATTTATGTCCCAACTCGAAGCTTAACGTCAACTGATTTGTGAGCTCTATGCACAGGACCACACGCCGCCAGCATTTAATTTCAACAACATGACATTCAATATGTTCTATGAATATGTAATAAGAACATAAAATGAACATGTACTATGAATAACATGAAAATGAATATAAGAACATATAATGTGAACAATATGCCACATTCACGGTATATATTCAGGTTTTAAAAGGTATATATAACAATACGTCAATGTTATTTTATCCTTTTAAAGGATAATCAGGAAGTACAAGACAATCTAAGGCCTATAAACTGGATAAGGATACTGTTATATTTTTTATTGGTCTGTAAGTGCCGAATTGTGTGCAAACTTTTTGATGATTTATACATTTTCTAATCCCCACTAAAAATATATCTAATGTGTTGATGTTGGAATAATTTTAATCAAAGAAACATTTCCATCAAAGACATGGCTATGACATTACTGTCAGTGAGTGTGTGTGTATGTGCGTTTGTGCGCGCGCGCGTTTGTGCGTGTGTACGCGTTTGTGTGTATTTATTACATTTTTTGTCCATTGAACAATTAACATTTTATGACAAGAACCCACATTCTGAAGACATAAGACAACAATGATAGGTTGGACAGAGTTTAATTAATCATTAATAAGTATTTACGTTTATGTTCACTAATCTGTCATACAGACACCTGAAGCAAATATATCCAAGAAATCCGACGCAAGTCTCGAAAATGAGGCATGTCTAGATTTCCACAGCTTCTGAAAATGAAGAAAGTCTCAGAGCTCCTTTTCATTAAATTTTATTTTTTCACTATGAGCCTTTTTTCTGTAAAACATTTTCATTTCAGAGACTAGTTGTTAGTCTAAGGCGTAATGTTCACAAGCGCATAAATATTCTGGCCATCAGTCCTGCGCTCTAGTACATCGCGTGACTAAACCTCCAGACACTGTCTGGAGCTCTAGGACTTCCGGCGTGTTGCTTCGTAAGGTCACTGAGAGTTGATCAAAGTGATAAGTTCCCACCTCTTAGCTGAGAAATTTGTGCACGATGTTAACCAGGTTGTCAAGAGTGGTTTGTCCAGCTTGGATTGACACGGGATCGTTTTCCTGCACAACAACTTGGCGACAGAGAATCCAAGGTAAAGCATGACTGTTGGTATAATGTCCAGTATTCGATCAGTGATGTGGTTGTGACTGAGGGTCCGTAGTGAGATCTCAGGGTGAGGCAGAATTGACTGGGTATTGAAAACAACCAAGTTGCCGGGAAATTTCAACCAGTTATATTTTAATATCTATTCCTCATCTGACAAGGATGAATTTTGACTTGCTTCTTTAATTATATACTCCTCACAAAAAATTAAGCAACAAGTATTTTCAGTGTAATATTTTTATCAATCTCGATAGCGATTTTTGTCGATATGTTACTGAAAGGTAAATATTCAAAGAATACATAACATTTAGTGACTGTCAAATTGATTTATCTGACAACATTAACAACATCCCCCCGAACACAACCACCCTCAGAAACAACATGCAAAATGTGTGGCATGGAGCTGCCACACACTTCACACATGCACCATGATCGGTGTAAACCTGCCAGTAATAATTCCTCTGATACAACAAGAGGGTCCTACCTCCATTTTTATGAATGATAATGCCCGTCCATGGATGACAATGCCCGAGAAAGAGTTGTCAACAATGTTGTTTAGATCAACATCACACATATGGACTGGCCTGCAAGTTCCTTGATCATTATCCCATTGAACATGCTTGGGACATTATTGGAAGCCATGTTTACTCTCTCCATGTTCACCCCCAGACTCTGGATGACCTTGAGTAGTGCTCATGGTGGTCATCATGGCGTTACGTGATCACTGCTTCAGTCCAATAGCAGAACATTCCACAACAGCAACTTCAAAGGCACATTTGGTCTGTTAATGCAAAGACATTGTGTTAATCGTGTGTACAAGCTTGCATTTGTGCTCATGGTGATCATATTTGTGTTGCTTACTTTTGAACACTGCTTCATTGTCCAAAACCGACTTGAACCTTAAAGAACAAATTAACTTTGTCTTTTTGTACTCTTTTAACCATTACATATGAAAGATTTGTGGTTAGTCTTATGCGGAACACCAAATTCATTCTTAAAAACTTGTGGTTAATTAATACCGGCGATTAAAAGTTGCCCAAATATTTTTATGGATTAAACTTCTTTTTAACTCTTTGAGACCATTCCAGGTCCCTTCATCGCCATTAAAGTTGCCAAAAGTCGCCTGCTTAAAACCACAGACAGGTTACGTAACTCTGTCGCCAGAGCACTGCAGTGACGTCATATGAGGAAGGATTTTCAGTTAGTTGTATATAATGTGTGAAGCAAGCTCGTCATTTTTATGATTTCTCGACATCAACGAAGAAGACATGCCGAATCGTTGCGTTGTCGTCAATTGCTCCTAGGGGTCGGGCGATGGTGTCACCATGCACAGATTTCCACAGGACCCCCCAGTTCGTGCTAAATGGGTTATGTTTGTGAGTGCGAAGCGAGCGTTGTGGAAGCATGAAACGATATCTTACTTGTTTTCAGATCGCTTCACGGAAGTTAAAAAATCAAAACTACTTACTAGTTGTAGTAAAATATGTATATGATTGTTTACCATAAAGATTGTAACATAACGATTTCTTCCTCAGAAGCGAGGTTGTGTTCGAAGTAACAATAATATTGTGAGTAGTATTATATTGACACCCACCTCGCTTCCACGAGAGAAATTGTTATGTTATAAGCTATGTCATGCAAAATCCTACTGAAATGTGTATCGATACATCCCCTTTGTATTGTGTATAGATACATCCTCTGTGTATTGTGTAACGATACATCTCTACATTACAGAAGTTTTCAATCTAGTTTCAAAAATAATTCACTTTTATTACCATTTAAAAAAAAAATGTGGCTATATATTATATCATGATAATGAATTCCAGACATTTTGATGTTTGTTTCATAAGCAAGTGACTAAAATGTTAGGTTTAAAAGAAAATGAAAGTCAGTGTCTATTTGAGGGTTTTCCTTCCAAACTAGTGTCCAGAGAACCCCCCAGTGACTAATATCAAAGGTCAGGCCTACCATACAAATGGTGAACCAATCCTCAAAACTGAACTCATATATACACCTAAACAGAACAAAAATCACCAAAATAGGAAAACAAACTTCCCAAACTGCAACAATTTCCTCCAAAACCGAAACAAACGCATATGTAATGGAAAACTAATCGTTTAAATTTAACCAAACCTCGCGTATCAGCTACAAAAGTCCTATCATGTATTGAAGAGTTTACTAAACGGAAAGATTTAATAATTACTTTCATAACAGAACTTTGTGTTTTATTCTATATTTCTTGGCAAGATTGCTGAACAATGAAAGGCATGCATTCCTCAGGTCCAATCTAGTTTTGCTCTGCCTCCATTGTATACATCATACGGGATGCATATTTCTGCATCACATAAAACCCGATATTTGTTATAGTTTGGGCTTCTGATAACAGCATAATTTGTTGATTGTGATGAGTTCAAGCTATGTTGATTTTCTAATTCATTTTTGGGTGGTAGGTTAGCCAAGCGTTCACTTGTCAAGCCGAAGACCCTGGTTTCGATTCCCCACATAGGTAGCCCATAGGTGAAGCCCATTTCTGGTGTTCCCCGCCATGATATTGCTGGAATATTGCTAAAAGCGGTGTAATACTAGGTGAAATGAGGTTTAACGTTGTACTTGAGAATATTTCGCTCATATGACGATGTGCATGTGTGTGTATTTGTACTAACCCAGACTTAAGCTGGTTCATCGTGCTAGCCCACTGAGATACCATGCCGCAGTTAAACATAAATACCCCACTCAGACACATTATACTGACTCCAAGCCGACCAGTCCTTGTTGTATGCATTAATGTACTAGCTCAGACTTGGTGGCATGTGGTCCTGTGCATAGAGCTCAGGTCACGAATCAGTTGAAGTTAAGCAACGTCGAGCTCGGACAGTCCTTGGATGGGTGACCGTGTTTGGCAGCTTGACTCCTACGAGTTTCTAGGACTTCAGTCCTGCCCCTCAACGAAGCACATCTGGTCTCACCTTAGGCAAGTGAGTTTGTTAAAAATTGCCTCTGCTCACCCAGCAGAAAATGGGTACCCGGTTGGATAAAGTTATGTGACTATAACCTTCTAGCGCCTAACAGGCAGCCTGGGTTATCCGGGGTAATAATCATTAGATTCTGATTAAGCGCCGCGAGCAATCACTTGGCGTTTGGAGACAGTGCGCTATAGAAGATGACTTATTATTATAATGCCGAGCGCCAGGCGGGGGACCAACATATTTTAATGTCTTTTGGTATGACATGGCTAGGGAACGAACCCGCGACCTTCCGCATGCGGGCGGAAACGCCTAACCATTACACCACAGAGGCGTTTTGGCGTAATACTAAACGCACTCACTCACTCTTAATCATTTGTAGTCAAATAAATCGTCAAAATCAGTGCTATATTTCCCAATATTATATTTTGCTTTGTTTTTTGTGTGCAGCTTTTGGGAGCACAGCAGTGCGATGCCTTGATGATAGCCCTAACAAAGACTTCAAAGTGAACCCAGTGTTCCTGAACAGAAACCCCAGGTGAGGCTCCAGGTGCTGAAATTATCACACTTGTGTAACCATGGTAACCGGTTACTGTGTTTTTGTGTCCTAATGTTTATGAATGTTTTGAAACACTCCTTAGTGTCTTTCTGACAGGTTTTGGATGAGTACATACTATATTCACTGTGATATAGTGTTGTTTCTCAGCCATCAAGGTTTAAATTCTTCTTCACTGAATCAGAAAAAAGTGTAATTTTTGTAATTGCCTTTTTTCAATGAAATGTTTTTTCTTGCAATACAATCTCATTAGAATCAGATTTACTGTTTGTTTACTCTGGTTTGGTGCCTCTGTGCACATAAGGGTTTCATTGAAAGAAGCAAACTATCAGTAGCCTTTGACTTTCCTGTCAAACTGAGGGATGAATGGTTTCTTCGTGTGACAATTCTGTCTTTGTGATAAGTTGCAGATCGCTATTCAATGGATAAACAGTCTTTTTGTATTGTTCAGATGACAGGTTGTCTTTGTTATCAGAATTTACAATCCTGATTACAATCCTGTCATGTTTTTCAGAAATTTAGAAACTATGGGCATTGCAAGGAAGCGCCAAGGCTGGATTCTGCAATATCCAAGAAAAAACTACTATCACAAGTAAGTTAATGTTTGTTGTAATGACCTCACTGTCAACAATGCAATAATGACTGTTAACACGATAACATTGACCAGTTATGACATCAAGGCTGTTGACAAGATAACATTGACCAGTTATGACGTCAAGGCTGTCAACACGATAACATTGACCAGTTATGATGTCAAGGCTGTTAACAAGGTAACATTGACCAGTTATGACGTCAAGGCTGTCAACATGATAACATTGACCAGTTATGATGTCAAGGCTGTTAACAAGGTAACATTAACCAGTTATGACGTCAAGGCTGTCAACACGATAACATTGACCAGTTATGACATCAAGGCTGTTGACAAGATAACATTGACCAGTTATGACGCCAAGGCTGTTAACACGCATAACATTGACCAGGCTGTGTCAAGGCTGTCAACACGATAACACTGACCAGTAATGACGTCAAGGCTGTCAACACGATATCATTGGCAAGTGATGACATCAAGGCTGTCAACACGATAACATTGACCAGTGATGACGTCAAGGCTGTCAACAAGATAACACTGACCAGTGATGACGTCAAGGCTGTTGACAAGATCACATTGACCAGTGATGATGTCAAGTCACCAATGTCAGAGGACAGCCTATTCAATGTTTAAGTTTTATTGGCATGTATGCATGACCGGTTATAATAATAACGTATTTGAATGAATAACAGACTATATTGTTTTCACACAGGTTGTTCTTTGAGAGAAGTGCTCGCCACACCTCAGCATGGGTCGAGCATATGAATGGGGAAACAGTTGTGTCAGCGTCCACACGGGAGTGGGCAGTCCGGGAACAGCTGTACAGGTGGGTGTTGATTTAGTCCAGGAACAGCTGTACAGGTGGATGGTGATTTAGTCAGGGAACAGCTCTACAAGTGGGTGTTGATTTAGTCCGGGAACAGCTCTACAAGTGGATGGTTATGTAGACAGTCCGGGAACAGCTGTAGAGGTGGGCTGGGTGTAGGTAGTCCGGGAACAGCTCTGCAGGTGGGCTGGATGTAGAAAGTCCTGGAACAGCTGAACAGTTGGGTGGTGATTTAGTCTGGGAACAGCTGTACAGGTTGGTAGTGATGTAGACAGTCCGGGAACAGCTGTACAGGTGGGTATTGATGCAAACAGTCCGGGAACAGCTGTACAGGTGTGTAGTGATGTAGACAGTCTGGGAACAGCTGTACAGGTGTGTAGTGATGCAAACAGTCCGGGAACAGCTGTACAGGTGTGTAGTGATGTAGACAGTCTGGGAACAGCTGTACAGGTTGGTAGTGATGCAAACAGTCCGGGAACAGCTGTACAGGTGTGTAGTGATGTAGACTGTCTGGGAACAGCTGTACAGGTGGGCTGGATGTAGACAGTCTGGGAACAGCTATACAGGTGGGTGGTGTTTTAGTCTGGGAACAGCTATACAGGTAGGTAGTGATGTAGACAGTCTGGGAACCCCTGTACAGGTAGGTAGTGATTTAGTCTGGGAACAGCTGTACAGGTGGGTAGTGATGTAGACAGTCCGGGAACAGCTGTACAGGTGGGCTGGATGTAGACAGTCTGGGAACAGCTATACAGGTGGGTGGTGTTTTAGTCTGGGAACAGCTATACAGGTAGGTAGTGATGTAGACAGTCTGGGAACCCCTGTACAGGTAGGTAGTGATTTAGTCTGGGAACAGCTGTACAGGTGGGTAGTGATGTAGACAGTCTGGGAACAGCTGTACAGGTGGGTAGTGATGTAGACAGTTTGGGAACAGCTGTACAGGTGAGCTGGATGTAAACAGTCTAGGGACACTTGTACAGGTGTGTAGTGATGTAAGCAGTCTAGGGACACCTGTACAGGTAGTTGGTGACAGACAGTATGGGAACAGATGGTGGCAATGTTCAGATGAGTGGTTATGATGACAGTTTGGGAACAACTGTACGAAAGGGTGGTGCTGACATAGACACTCCAGATACTGTTTGAATAATAACAAATACTAATGGTAGAGACTGCCCAAACACCACATTTTATTCTGAGGTGAGAAGTACATTTCGTGTCTCTTTGACTGTTGTAGCACCTCAGATGTGTCTGCAGCGGAGAATATCGGCCGAGTGTTGGCCCAGCGGTGTGTGGAGTGTGGTCTCACCAGTGTGTTCTACGACAAGACAGAAGACAACACACCTTCGGAGTCTGTGAGTCACAAATTGGTCACATGGCATCCATCATTTTATTTTCTGTATCACACATATCGGTTTCTGTATCACACATTTCTTTTCATGTCAGTTTTAGTATCACATCTATCTGTTTCTGCATCACATCTATCAGTTTCTGTATTACATCTGTCAGTTTCAGTATCACATCTAGCAGTTTCTGCATCACATCTAGCAGTTTCTGTATCACATCTATCAATTTCTGTATCACATCTAGCAGTTTCTGCATCACATCTAGCAGTTTCTGTATCACACATGTCAGTTTCTGCATCACATCTAACAGTTTCTGTATCACATCTGTCAGTTTCTTACCACATCTAACAGTTTCTGTAATACATCAGTCAGTTTGGTATCACATCTATCAGTTTCAGTATCACATCTCTCAGTTTCTGTATCACATCTCGCAGTTTCTGTATCACATCTGTCAGTTTCAGTATCGCATCTCTCAGTTTCTGTATCACATCTCTCAGTTTCTGTAATCACACATTTCTTTTCATGTCAATCTTTTTCATCACATCCATCACTTTCTACATAGCATCTGTCAGTTTCTACATGGCACCTGTGAATTTCTTCATCTCACCTGTGAATTTCTTCATCTCACCTGTCAGATTCTTCATCTCACCTGTCAGTTCCTTCATCTCACCTGTCAGTCTTCATCTCACCTGTCAGATTCTTCATCTCACCTGTCAGTTCCTTCATCTCACCTGTCAGTCTTCATCTCACCTGTCAGATTCTTCATCTCACCTGTCATTTCCTTCATCTCACCTGTCAGAGTCTTCATCTCACCTGTCAGTTTCTTCATCTCATCTGTCCAGATTCTTCATCTCACCTGTCAGATTCTTCATCTCACCTGTCAGAGTCTTCATCTCACCTGTCAGATTCTTCATCTCACCTGTTTGATTCAATTTCAGCGTGAAGTGTTTCTAAATGCGGTTCAAGATGTGGTGACACTGACAGAACCAAGACAGCTGAAGCCAAGGTATGAACCTGGAATCGACTATGACAAACCAAACAGATACGGAGAGAAGAAAAAGCTGAAGCCAGACTACCAGATCTCCTGATGTGTGTCATCTGACATGTAAACATGTGTCAAGATGTGTCTCAAACGGAATGTCCAACACTGACATGTGTCCTGATAATAGTAGATGTGTGTATGGGATGTAGATTAAAGACACGTCAATATTTGTCACAGATAACTGTATTGTTGGTTTTACAATAAACAAGCTTGTTACCTTATTCTGTGTGTTATTTCTTGGGAGGAAAGAGATACATCCACCTGTTGTGAGGTGTTTCAAGTCCTATCCACAGTTACAGGAAACACATTTTACTGGAACAGAGCGCTGCCATATAGCTCGTATATTGCTGGGGCGGCGTAAAACGTGCGGCGTAAAACTAAACTCACTCACTCACTTATTTTACTAGAAATATGATGTTTAAGACATTCATAGAGCAATGCACTTGGCCCTGATTGGTTGAATTGTGTCAAATGAAATAACCATGAAAGATTGACCTTGACCCTGATTGGTTTGATTCTTTGAAGTGCAATTACCATAAAGGATTGAACTTGATCCTGATTGGCTGAAATGTGTCAAGGGCTATGACGGTAACATCCTCGATAATCTCCAGGGTATACCTTACGATCACTCTCCACTATACCCTGGATGCATCCACGGCTTGGCCCCATGATTATATTACCTCCTTTTGCTGGCTCCGCATTCTCACGGTAGCCAATCAGCTAAGCCGCCGTTACATCCGAGCTTGCCAGTGTCAACAAGGATAACAGGCTGATAATTTAAGAAGCGAAAGTGAGTTGTGATTGGTTCGCTCAACTTCCCAGCCGTTGAGCGTAGACACCTAATTGGATAAAAAGCCGGCCAAGGGAGGTAATATAATGATGGGGCCTAGCCGTCGATGCATCCAGGGTATAGTGGAGAGTGATCGTAACGTAAACCTGGGAGATTATCGATGATGTCCCCATAAAGGATTGAACGTGATCCTGATTGGCTGCATTGTGTCAAATGCTATCACCTTCAAAGATTATGCATGGTACCTGACACTGATTGGTTCGGCTGTGTCAACTAGTACCGCCATGAAGGATTATGAATGGTACCTGACACTGATTGGTTCGGCTGTGTCAACTAGTACCGCCATGAAGGACTGAGCTTGGTCCTCAGACAGTGTCACTGATTTCGTATAGTCTGTTTGTTATTATTGTTGAACGCTGCACTCCGCAATATTAAAGCGGTATGTAAATATTCGAGTCTGGACAAGACTATCCAGTAATTGACATCATATATAACCATCAATCTACACAATTTGGATACGATGACATGTGTCAACCAAAGTAACCCTGACCACCCGATCCCGTTAGTCGCTTCTGACAACAAGCATGGGTTACTGAAGATCAATTCTAACCCGGAATTCACGGGTAGATTTCGTGTAGTCAACAGCTCATGATATATTATTAATTATATACTGAACATCATTGAAAACGCCCTACCTGTAAATTTTGAAATATGGTAATGGGATTGTTTTGACAGTGAAAATGAACGTTGGAAATGTTGTTAATAACACAAAAGACAATAAATAATGCTGTACAGTAAAGAACGGATTGCCCGAACACATCATGGAACACATCACATGACAACAACAAAATCCATGCACAACACTCACGAAAAGCACAAATTGCATACGTAAAACATGCTGATTAGGGGTATAAATGACCGTCGGCAAAAAACCGTTCTCATTTTAGCTGTACCTCCTTAAGTAATGTTTATTTTGCAATGCCAAGATTGTCACCAGAGGAACGAGAACGGGCGTTGGGCATGTTGCAGGTTGGCACATCAAGCAGGATTATTGCCAGACGATTTGGTTGCCATCATTCCACCATCATAAGACTTGCCAACAGGTACCAACAAACAGGAACCAACAGGGACCGCCAACGTCCTGGCCAGGCACTTGTTACCAGCCCTCGCCAAGATCGAGACATTGTTCGGCGCCATATTCGGGATCGTACGTTGCCGGCTGCCAGAACCGCCAACGCTGTCCAAGGCCGACGTGGTTTGATCAGTGCTTTCACCGTCCGACGCCGTCTCCGTGCGGCAGGATTACGGTGTCGATGCCCTTATGTTGGACCCATCCTGACTGATAGACATCACCGTGAACGCCGACGATGGGCTGAACACGTTACGACGTTGGCATGGTGTTGTGTTCTACGGCGTGTCACGTTTTCACTTGCGAAATGCTGACGGGCGTCGACGGGTATGGCGTCGACAGGGAGAACGTTACCATCAGGACTGTGTTGTGCAAACAGATCGGTGGGGTGGAGGAAGCATTATGGTGTGGGGGCAGAATCAGCTATCATCACAAAATCGCTCTGGTAGTTTGTCGTAGCAGAGTGAATGCCCTTTACTACCGTGACACCATTCTTCAGAACAACGTCGTTCCCTTCTTTAACCATCATCAAGATCTGAACACATTCCAGCAGGACAATGCTCGAGCGCACACTGCACGTGTTGCAACACAGTTTCTGGCAAACAACAGCATTCCTCAACTTCCATGGCCTGCATTGTCACCAGATTTGTCTCCCATTGAACACTTGTGGGATTACATCGGTCAATGCCTCTCACGTCGCCCACAGATCAACAACCTTCGGGAACTTGAGAATGCCTTGCAACAAGAGTGGAATGCATTACCTCAAAACGTTATTCAGAGACTTATCAGTTCAATGAGGAGACGTTGCACAGATTGTGTTGCTGCTAACGGTGGTCATACACGTTACTGACTTTCCAATTTGACTCCATCTTTCTTTCATGGTCAGCAGAATTAAAACTTCACTGTTTTGCTGGATTGGTTCTTGTTTCTTTCTTTACCAATCATTGGACTACTAAAGTATGTAAAATGTACACCGATTGCTCATTTATGCTCTTGGAAATCCAAACTAATACAGGTGGTGCGTTTTCAATGATGTTCAGTATATATACCATATGTGAAGTCAATGTCGACATGTTATTTATATCATTTGACTTTACTTTCATCTGACTGTTACTATCTGTTTGACCTTCAAGTGAATGAATCAATATCAGGCTACATATGTCATTTCTTCTGGGCTTATCTAAAAAGGCATGCATTGTCAGATTTTTTCTACAGGCACACCCCACGCCGACCTCTCCAGACCTGGACCTAATCATGCAGTGTTCCCGGATACCGTTGATTATGGGGCTGGTTATTGGTGAGTCTGTCCTCAACTTCTCAAATGTTTGTTTTTGTCTGTAGCACTGATGGTGTTGGAGACAATATTGCAGTTATTGTGCCAAACCACGTTTGAAAGTAGCAGTAGATCAGGTCAGATCCGGTGAATAGTGCAGAATTCTGTGGGAATGACATGTTAATTTTGGAACCAATGCTAATTGTAATCACTTTTGTGTATGGATTCAGGAAAAACATGGTTCCATTTTTTCGGTTTGCTATAAGTGTCATTGAAAAAATTGCTTGCGACACCATATCGAGAAAAAAACATGTTTTCATAAACCTATCACAACATAGTCATGTAGCATATCAAAAGGCAGCTTATGATGCATGATATAGAGATAACCACATATTATGCTTCTAATTTCACTTTGGTGACATAAAATATGACATAATCATATAAATTAATCAAATACTGTCTTTCCTTCATCGGACACCAACATTGTAAGTATTGGCCTTCATCAATGGAAACCATTTATTCAATTAATGTATTCTCCCATTTCATAATACATGTATATACTACCATGACACACTTATGTATGCAGTAATAATAGTACCCAGGTAAGGTTAATGTGACTATCATATAGTCGTGCACAAGTGACACTCGTGTCTGGGTAATTAAATGACAAATGACATAAAGCCAAATCTGCACTCAATACAAATTGAATGTATTACTACAGGAGTGACAAATTATATCACAGTAAACAGATAACTACATGTTACAAGTGGGGTATGCAAGTGCAATATATAATGTGCACTAGTATATTTATTTTAACTTTCACATTGTTAAGTAACTTGCATAGTCAATCAATTAACATGCAAGAACAAAATATGCTGTTGAAATACAAGCTTCGACATTTTTTGTCATACAGACACAAGCATGAATTCTTTTTTTTCTTAATTTGGAAACTAGAAGGTCCCTCGTTAGAGAACATGCCTCCGCCTTGCACAGCAATCCCCTTTCACTATTACATTTAGTACTACTGTGTACTTGTACTTTAATGTACTTTCACCAAACCGTACGCAGATAGCCCTTGTGTCATACCTAACATAACCACCAAGATTCATTCAAATCCATCGATAACTTTTTGAGTTATTATTCATATTCTCCATTTATTTAACATTGCGATTATTTTCAAAGTAACTCTGTGTACATGTACTCTAACATACACTCTTAAAAAAAGAAAAGCAAAACAAAATTTGAAAAAATTAAAGTTGGTACGCAAATGTGAGATTAAGCATGTTTTGAGGGTTGAATATTGTTGTATGTTTTGAGGGTTGAAAATTGTTGTATGTTTTGAGGGTTGAATATTGTTGTATGTTTTGAGGGTTGAATATTGTTGTACGTTTTGAAGGTTGAATATTGTGTTATGTTTTGAGGGTTGAATATTGTTGTTAGTATGGTTTAGAAGCACATGCGTGAGCGAATGCAACCATAAACGATTTTGAATTGTTTTATCGATCATGATTGTCATGATGAGCTTGACTGGTATGGAACACAACCAAAAGCTGCAATTATTGCTTCTTGTGTGCAACCTATGACTATAAAAGACCCAAATGCATCTCGCAAATTCATCCAAGACCCTTGCAAATATTGGATGAGAAAATGGGACGTCTCAACGGTCCACCAAAATATTGCCATTGGACGATTACAAGCTGGCGAATCAAAGAGTGTCGTGGCGAGGACCTTCAGCGTTCATCCCAGCCCCATTACTCGTTTGTGGGATCGGTTTGTGCATTCCATTTCGACAAATGACCATCCAAGACCAGGAAGACCACACAGCCCAAGATCGCTACATCCGGGTAACCCACCTACGTGACTGCCATCGTTCCGCCCGGGACACAGCACAAGAACAGTTTGGAGCCCGGAGAATGTCCGACCAGACAATCTGGAACCATGTCCGAGAGGTACTTATGCGTGCCAACGTCCACAAGTTGCCCCTCTCTGACATGATTACATCAACGTCCGTGAGTCAGGTGGTGTAACGCGGTGCAGCCATGGAGCCTTGGAAACTTGGAGGCACATATGGTTCTATGATGAATCGCGGTTTTCCCTCAAGCGACGTGACGGAAGACAACATGTCTACAGACCACGCAATGAACGTTTTGCATCCAACTGCATCAGGCAAGTGGACATATTTGGTGATGATGTGCGGAGCCATC